CTTTATTTGTTATTTATTAATTTATTTTTGCAGGCTTTTTATGTTTAGTTAGCCAACATATAGTACATCATTAGTGACATCAAAAACTAATGATGAGCTGCCACTTTTCAAATGATTCTTGGTTTTCCAATTATTAACACTTAACTTTTGGAGGGACATTTCTAGCATCTTTTTGGTGTAGTCAATTACAAAGCTTAAGCCCGCAGATCTACCTATCCATGTTAATACAGAATTGAAGGTATGCTCATTTCTAACAGAGGCATGCAGATAAGTTCTTTAATAAGCCTACAACATGCAAAATTCATAAGCATTTAAGCACAGCAGTAAAATCTTGAAAAGACTTAGAGCAATTTATAAATTCCAAATTAAGTAAAGTAGCAACTGATACTGTTTAAAAAATTAGAATGTTGTTTTTTTTAAATGCCTTTCTTAGAATGCTTGTTCAACTAGATATGCTATGAAGAAAAGCATTCCATGGTCAAAGTTTTGGAAGTGCTACACACTATATCCTAAACTTTGTTTGGCCATGGAAACCTTTGTGTATAACATCTTTCAAAAGAATAATTTGTGAAAGTTTTACAGATCAGTAAAATTTCTTTCAAATGATATTCTTCATATTATATTAAAGAGTGCTAAATCAACATTTATGCCTAGAATTATACCATATATAAATAAAAAAACATTTGTTACAGGAAAGGCCTAACTGGATGAGACTATGAGCATATCATATTCTGAAATCCTAGTCTGGGAGTATCCTAGTCAAAGATTATGCTCCATAAACCTAATGACCTTCTTTCTGCATGGTGGCAGAACAGGTATTTTCAAAATCATTTCAAAATGAATTGATCAGGATTCAACCTATTTCAGTGATTTATGAGTCAAGAGCCTCCTGATATACGACTGCCAGTCTTGCCTATCTCAAATCTGTTCTCCAGAATGCTACCAGTTATCTTCCAAAAGACACACTGATGGTGACCCTCCCCTACTTAAAATACCTTTCCACAGTTCCTAAATTTTCTTTCAAAGCAGCAAATTCAAAATTCTTAATGTTGCACATCGGTTCCCATCTACTTTTCCAAATTATTCTGCTACTTTCACACTCCCTGTCCCAGTTCTAGCTATACAAGGTAATTATTATTCACAGATTGTTATTTCATGCTTCCTTCCCTCTGGAATTCTCTTTCCCCTCTTTCTTTTCTCCATTTTTTAGATTACTACTCATCTTTCAACACCCAACTAAAATGACTTTTCACATTGGCAACAATACAACATACTTTTCATAAATGCATTTCACTCTACATTTCAGAAAAGTCACTACTGTATTTAATTATGGAAGAGTAATGTTTTTCATCTATGAATACATGAACACTATTGACTGATTAGTCCATTTGTCGTGGATATGCTAAAAACTCACTGCTATCTCTCATAGATTTAATTCTTAGATTCAATTCCATAGATGCTTACTAAATACTAAATATGTGCTAGACACAGTCTTGTTCTTAAGACTGAGCCCACAGCCTTTACTATAGGCAAATGCAAAAGCAATAGTATGTTAAGTGGGATTTTTCCTCCCATTCCAAAATTGTGGCTAAGGCCAAAAGCTGAGGATAATTAAGTACCCCTTCTCTTAGCTTAAGAAGCCAACTATAGTTGGTACCAACCTATTCTCTCAGGGTTTAGTGAGAAGCACTAGTTTACTGAACCAGCTCCTATCGTACCAATGATCATAACACTTTCCCCTCAATGTGAATCTAAAAAGGATAAAAAGAAAGAGGAGGTTATTGGACTTTAAGGGGAACACAGAGTTTATGAAAATAGGATATTCCCTTCTTCTTTGGAGAAAAAAGTTGTCATACTTGAATCCAGAGGGTAAGAATCAAAGTTCGAGGTTATCTAAAAGAAAGACAGACCCGTATTTGGTTACCTGTATAGGCAAATGACTTACTGATTTGCCCCTCTGTTATATACATAATGGAAAAGAGAAATAGGGAGAAAATATGGTGGGGAAGTGTCAGGTAGAGAGATAGGCAAGACTATGGCCTGGTTCCAAGAAGTATGAAAAATGTAACCTTTCCCCTAAAATTGGCACTGGGAGGTAGATTTTTTTTTTAAGATTTTATTTATTTATTTGAGAGAGAGAATGAGAGAGAGAGAGCATGAGAGGGGGGAGGGTCAGAGAGAGAAGCAGACTCCCCACCAAGCAGGGAGCCCAATGCGGGACTCGATCTCGGGACTCCAGGATCATGACCTGAGCCGAAGGCAGTCGCTTAACCAACTGAGCCACCCAGGTGCCCCGGGAGGTAGATTTGATTGTAAAGTCTTGAGGCAAAAAAAGACATACATATCAGAGTCCCATGGTGTGAATGCCATTAACAGGTTTAGTCCGAAGATGTAACCAAATCTTCCAAAGGATTGCAAATGCCTATAAAAATGGGACAGGACTGACCTCACTTTTAGCAGGGTAAACGGAAGCTACCACTCACCTACATTTAGGCTAGTGACAATGAGCTATAACAGCAGTGTTGAACAACCAAGAAAGAGGACTGCCACCTCAACAGTGGGATAGCATGTAGAATTCTGCCTCCACTATCACTCTTCCTAGTTTCAACACCAGGAAGAAAAACGACAAGAAAAAGGGAGGGCAGACGTGTGTGACAAAAAGAACCTACTCACCCACCCCTAAAGTTTTCAGCCCCAGATTAAGGTCTATTCTGTCCTAGGAAAAAGTGATAAGAGTATTGAATCAATTCTGTGACTCAAGTTATAATACAAAGAGAACTAATTCTTAAACACTGGCATGAAACTAGAGTGTTTAAACATTGCAGAATAGTGACAAGATGCTGCGAAGGCAATTGACATCCAATCGGAAAGGGAAGTCAGACATGGTAGAGTTGGCAGGCAGTTACTAGGTAAAAAGCAAAACTGATCTGTGTTTATATTGGGATCCTCAATGAACTGGTTACCCACAGATGGATAGCTTCTGAAATTAAGTTTCCATATATACTGGTATTCTTAGCTTTCCATCTCTCCATTCCTTTTTTTATATAATAAATGAAATCCTGGTATGAGCTCTATTATACTATGATATTTAAGTCTAGAACCAGTCTATCCATTTTCTCATTATGATTTGCTGTTCTTTCTGAAAAATGGTAAGCAGATAAGAGCTGTACACTTCTATGTTTGGGAAGTCACCATCCAAGTCACAGATATGAATGGACAAATAAGCATTACTAATGATGGAGGATGCTAAACATAGTAACAGGTATTTCAAGTAATAAAGTGAAGGAGACTGATTAAGAACAAAGTTCTTGAAGCAGAAATTAATTTGATACCTCAGTGCTTTCAATGTTCACCTTTTAATGATCCAACCAAAGAAGAAATCCACTAAGTGGCTTATCTGACAAAGAGCAAAAACTAGTATATTGTAAATGGACACTGTTCAATTGCATGATACAGAGGAAGACAAGTGAAGGTTCTACAGAAAGAGAGTAAGAGAAAAAACAAGTGAAGGCTGGTCAGGAAGTGGGACCTGAACTGGGGCTGTACATGGAGGGTGGACAGGCATGGATGATAGACAGAGCAGAACAACTCCTAGATGGATGAGAGACAATAATGTAAAGTGGTTGTGACACATTGCAATATTAATACATACCGAGACTGAATTGCGGGTAATGCTCATAAATCTAACTGCAATTAGTACAGGTTTCTGGATTAGGAAGGACATGAAAAGGAAAGCAGAAGGTTAGAATGTACATGTCATTGCCCCATTAAAAGAGAAGGTTTAATCTTTCAGTGGACTGAATATATCCATCTTCTGCAGCATCAGTTTAAAAAAAAAATTAAAAATAAAAAAAAGCACAGCGTGTCTAGCTACTTTGAAAAGTAGCTTTAGAGTAAAAGGTCTCTTCCCTTTCTTCTTCTAAATTGGGCCTCTAAGAACTAAGCTCCTGAAAATTCAGACTACCAGAAAGGGTTTCATTTTTAAATGGGGTTTCTGTTTTCATTTTCTAGGGAAAAGATTTTCAAATAGTGTCCTACAATTAATACCTTTACTGCCTGAAAAAGTCTATGCTTATGCTTGTTCTTAGAGAAGACCCTTCACTAATTTAATCAACTGACATATTTGTTAGGATTTATTCTGTGCCAGGCAGTTTAAGTATTAAACAAAGAAACAGAGTTATTTTAATCTAAGTATAAATCATGAAGATATGGATGAACTATTGCTGGGTCCTTGGAAAAGCATGCACATGATGACAGGGAAGCCTGCTTCTCTTTAGAGCTTTACTGGGGATCTGACTGGGTCTCATTACTACAGTTTTGTTTTACAGTTGAGGGGAGGGGTAGCAAATGATTAAACTTTAATGCAGCAGTTTTCCAGTTATCCATACCCTACTGATGATTGTTGGTCAGTAAGAACTGATTGTCACTGGTTACAAAGGAAGATATTAAACAGAAAAGTGGGCAAATGGAGAAAATAAATGATCATTTTTGCAAGGTTTTTCCCAAAACCTAACAATAAACCCTTAAAAATCTTTGATAATAGTAGACTCATAGATGGAATTCCATTTCCTTATGTATCACATTCTTGAATATGATTAAGTTCTCTACATCGCAGAAGTACTGCCAGGAACATCAAAGGTGACATGGCTGGGGGTGGGAACAGATGGCGGAAGAAGTAGAGAAAAAGTTAGGATAGGTTAAATTTTCATACAAAGGACAGAAAAAGAAAACAGGACAGATTAATAAACCACCAACATCTTATCCAAATACTTGATTTAAAAAATTCTACACATTTAACTGCATATATTCTGTACATATAACTAGAGAGGGCTAAAAGATCAAACATGAGGCATCCATAGTACCCTGAGATAAAGTGGTTTCTTTTTACTTGTTCCATGTAAAAAAGATTTGAAGAATAATCTCTGTTTAAACCATAAATGCACACTTAAAACATCAGGAAGTCTCCCATTTTCCTCTGGACTCCACATCTGACTTCTTACCATTGATCTACGAATCAGTGACAGTCTGATCTTTGCCTTGTTCTCAGCAAATTCCAGGCTACTGATGTCTTTGAGACGAGCCTTGTATTTATTCATCTGTTCTACAACAATCAGCTCCACACAGCTGAAATAGGAGGAAAAAGAGAAAACCTTTAAGAGCTGAAGTAAGTCAAATAAAGTGTAGCCCTCCCACACTGCTTTTCAGCTAAATGTGGCAGACGTTTGGAGGATGAAAGAAAAATCAACATTCCTTATTTTATGAGCTCTAAGACAAGATTTATATAATGGTGGTTCACAACTTTGGCTGCACTTCAGCATCCATCTGAGAAGCAATTATAAGTTGCAACGCCCAGGCCACACCCCAGACTAATTAAATTAGACTCTCTAGGGATAGGACACAAACACCAGGATTTTTTTAAAGCTCCTTTTGTAGCCAAGGTTAAGAATCATTAATCTAGAAGGAAAGCAGAGGGCCATAAAAAAAGGCTAAAGTGAAATACAGAAATACTGAAGTACTATGGCCAAAAGGATTCACAGCCAGTTAGACTAGATTATAGGGAGACAAAGTGTATGTAATTTGGTAAAATGGAATTTTAAAAATATTTTTAGAGAATATAAACATTCCTAAAGAAAAGCTAAATTTAAAATGACCCTTCAAAACAAATGATGTCCAGTTGAAGAGAATCTCTTAAATTTTTCATATTCAGCATAAGAAAACCCAACAGGGTCTAGTAATCTTCTTAAAAACATCTGAACTTATGAAATCATTCACTGTTTGATATCTAGATAAAGTGGCTACACTAACTCAGAAGTCTCTGGGGTCTTGTGGAGGTGATGGTAACTGGCCTTACGTGGTAGTCTTACTGATGTCCTGCACGCTTTGTAGTGGGTCAATGGTGTCAGGGCATCGAAGAATGCAGGGGGCAAATACAATCGCCAAAGCATTAGCAGACATTCGATTAGTTTCTTCCTGTAGAGCAATCCTAAGGAATAAAAAAAAAAAACAAAAAAAAACAGGCGAAGTGGGGATTAAAAGGGAAAATAGTAAGGACGTAGACAAAGGACATGAGAGAAAGAATACGTATGACATCAACCGCAGAGTACTAGAAGGATATTCGTATCAGGTGAAAGGAGACACTTGTAGACTTTTCCCAAAGCTGTTCCTTTGCCTCTGGAAAATGCACTTCCACTCTGTTCCTTACTTGAAGCAATACAGGCCAGCAGATAGCTAGCTTATCAAGGGAAATTTCTGACCCACTGCCATACACCTGATGAACGTGTCTGAAGAATGCAGAGTAGAGACTTAAAGGCATTCTCAGACAGTCTATCAGATACCCATCTAACATTTATGTAATATTTACCAGAGATTTATCTAATCAAAATAAAGATGGCTTTCTTCCCAACCACTGCAGATATTTATACTCAGTCAATTCTTGAGCCCCACCTAAACCCACCTCCTATGAATTAGGTTATGTCAAGACATATACCTCCTTTCTACTTTATAGTTCAGGAATGAGAACAGGCTAGGCTACATAGTGCCACCATGAGGCTGAAGTTGTTACATGGTTCAAATAGGGCAGAGAAGTCCCTACTCTGCAGCCCAACTTAGCTGAGGATTTCTGCTCCAAGCAATTGTAAGCACCTGTTTGAGGCATTAGCTTTATAAACAGGAAAAAAAGGTCAGTTTTCCAAATGAAGGAGTTCTTCACTTAAAAGAATCCAAGAAAAACTATTATACATTCCCTTGTTTCTTGAAATTACCTGACTAGATGAAAAATGAGGCGTTCCAGTGTATTGAGATGAGTTCGGGAGAGCTGGTCAATCACAGAGTATACACCACGGATTGTTTCTTTCCTCTCCTGAAGGCCTAAAAAGATTAAGGATAGCCAGTAAGATTGAATATCCCCTCTCATATGCTACATCTTCCTCCTGAACAGATAGTAGGTAGCAGGGGAACCTGGCTCTAAATTTTAAAGAGAGGCAGGTGTACCTGTGTGGCAGGAAAAGAGCAGCTCAGTTACCACTAATCTTCCTTTGCTTGAGTTCTATATTCACTAAGCAGTCCGTGAGTTTTAATCTATATCCCAGTAATCCTTATGAGAGCAAAGGGAAAAGAGATGCCCTAGGTTTTTTAGGCATTTCGTGGCAGACTGATTCCCTATTAAAATTAATTAATTGCTATATAGTTTATAAAATCAGTCTTATGGAAATTGGAGGAGTCATGCCTCAGGGCTTAAATACTTTTAGGCAGGCCTCCAGCAATATTCTACACAACTGTAGCACTGAAAAACTAAACTCCATCACCTGGGAGGTTTGGCATAAAACAGAGTTCTTGCCTAGATTCACAATTGTAAATGAATATAAGCCAGCCCTTAAATCTATTTAGTCTTTTAATTTATTTATAATCTTAGTCTTGAAATCTCTTTGTGAGAAGCAACGAAGGGACTTACTCAGAAAACTTTCAGGATACTGACATTTTAATGACTCTCTCAAAAGTCAATATTTGAGTAGGTGAGAGTACACCCCCAGTTCTGTATTGATTGTCAAAAGTTTACTTTTGGATCTCTATGGACTAAACCATTAGAGGATGGCTAAATAATCTATAATGAAACCAACATTCCTTTCCCAAGTGTAGGCCTTCCCTCGAATCCAGGAAGTCTGTGCTTACCCATAGCTCGAAGAAATTCCTCATAGAGTTCAAAGGTCATGAGTGGATTGGGCAAATCACGAAGCCACTGTTTGAATACACTTGCAATAACATGTATGTTATAGTCATCCAGGTTTACACTCTCAGCATCTATTTAGAGACAAGAGTTAGATAACAAAGCCAAAACATGCAAAGAGTTTCAAATAATTCACTTTAGAAACTATCAGCACCAAAAGAAGCCTTCATGTTCTTAATCAAACTAATTATCTTCTACGATCTAATTCCATGCTTTGGAATAGCACTTCTAACCTTGGTAAAGGAACAGCTTTTTGTTTTCCAAATCTCTTGCAGACTGACAGATATGTAAAATAAAATACCACATGCTTTCATGTTAAAGAACTGTTAAATACCACTACAGATGTTTCTAAATGCTTGCTCTCAATTTCTGTACTTACACTGTGGATTGATCTTTGAGCCACACTTTGAGTAGCAATGTTTTGGATGGCAGATGGGAAAAAGGCCCTAATTTTAAGTCATTTTTAAAGGTGAAAGGACAGTAATAAGTGAACATAGGAAATGTAATGAACATACCCTTACTCTGTTTCACTTATAAACTCCCCAAGGTTATACAAAAGAAATGATTGGGAGGATACAGGATGAATGATTTTTCACTTGTGCTGACCCAAGGTACAAGAGATCAGTTGTCAACTGCCTTTAACCTGGAGTAGAATCTCTGGTAGGCAGTTTGCCCCGCCTGAGTTTTACCAAGCATTTTCTGTTGTTATTTCCATACTGACTAATCTCTCCCTGATTTGCTCATTAAAAAAACCCAAAACAAACAAAAAAACTATAAAGAAAAAGCATGTGGGTAGGTTCTTGGAGACACAGAGCTAAGCTTCGTATCTAAGTGTGATTCAAAACAATCTATTCTAGGGCACCTGGGTGGCTCAGTCAATTAAGCCTCTGCCTTCGGCTCAGGTCATGATCCCGGAGTTCTGCTCAGCAGGGAGTCGGCTTCTCCCCTGCCCCTCCCCCTCTCGTGCTCTCTCTCTCTCTCTCTCTCTCTCTCTCAAATAAAGAACTAAAATCTTTAAACAACAACAACAATCTATTCCTTCCCTATAGTGGTAAAGAACAGAAGTTGACCATGAAACCAAAGTCCAACTCCTGCATATATATTCTAGGCCTGAGGCTATAGTTCTACACAGGTACATGTTCAATCCACTAATTAAACAGTTTAAATAACTATGTCATGAATGTAAGAAGGTGAGAACATGCATCAGAAAGAAACTTGAAGTCAGAGTAATGGAGACTAATAGGCAATAGTTTAGATTACGAATTCAGAACATCTGGGGTTAAATCCCCGCTTGATCACTTATTGGTGGTGAGTCTTTGGGCAAGATCCTCTGTAAGCCTCAGTTTCTTTCTCTGTAAACAGGGATAATAATCCCTAATTCATAGGACTCTTGTGAAGATGAGCATAAAAACATCAGCACACTGCTCTACATCATCAACAGATCATTTAATTTCCCTGAATCTAAAATTTCTTCTTTGTTAATTACAGATACCCTGATCTTACCAAATTGTTGATTTTAAATGAGAGCTGTGTCAAGGACCTAATAGGGCCTTGTACAAATGATACACTCAATATATATTTGCTGAATGGACCACACAAAAACAAAGACTTTTAGAAAGCCACAAAATGATTAACAAGCACCACAGAAAAGATGGCATTCTTCTGGCTGCAAGAAAAAGATTAACATGTAACGAAAACTTTAAAAGCAGGAAATGATCTATTTACATAACACCATTTGGTCCTGATTGGGAGAGCACCATCTTACCTGTATCCAGACCCTGTCGCAGCTCCTTGATTTTATTAGTTGAACCAGACTTTCGGTAAATACCTTCTGTGTACAGTCCATGCATTTCAATGTAGTTTATGAGCTTTTCCACCACTAAAGGAACAGTTCGTTCTTCACTGGTCAAACGGGACAATTCAACCCCGAACTGTCGAGATGACAGCTCCGGATCATACTAAATGGAAGATAAATTTTTGTTTCCAAATACATCCAAACATCTTTAAATGTGTTTAACCAGTTATTTAAGAGAAACTACTTTTTATTTCCCTGAAGTTTCATGAGCACAGTTATAAGAGTTGGAGGGAAAGGGAATTATGGTTAACATTGACAATATATATCAAGTCACATGTTAGCTTCAATCCTTTCCCACTAGGAATCCCCTCAAAATATAATGGGGTAGAGAATGAAGGCGGTGGCAACAGGCTACTGTTTCCCTTCCTGTTAAAAAGCCCTTCATGTAAAGCTGGGATTTGGACAAGGGAGAAAGGGGATAGCCTTTGTATGCTAAACATGTACCAAGTACTACTAGAAAGTCTGATTTGATATGAATTAGAGTTGTCAGTAATTTCTGATGCTTAAGAATGCTTCAATGTGCACGTAAACTTTAGGGACATTTAATTGAACCATGATATCATAGCTAAAGGCAGAGGCACACACAGATTGGCCCTTCATTCGTGTTCGAGCCCTTTCTTATTTACTTCAATAGTGTATCTGATATCATAAACTAACTATAGTTTATGCAACTGCAAAATACTTACCCTGAAGATTATTTAAAGTAATTCACAGAAAAAAATGCCAGGTATTACCTCTGAGACTGAGAACTTTTTTGTAAATCTTTTTTGTCTCTTCCTTCTCTTGCATCATTCTCCTTTTCTAACACAACAGGAATTCTCTCCTTCAGTCTGCATCAGTGCCAAGTTCTTGTGGTCAGTTAGCACACCCTATTTTTTCTTTTCTATTCTATTGCCACCACCCTATTTCAAATCTATATGACTGCCCACTTGGACTATTTCCAACAGCTTCTTGGTGAATTTCCCCACATCCATTTTCTCCCCTTTTAATACTGCATAGTGTATATAATCTACTTTAGTATCCTAAACAACCTTCAGTGATTAACTAGTATATATCAAAATAAGGTACATTCTTGAGTCTAACATTCAAGATATTGCTTGAATTGATCCTAATTTCCCCTTCCAGTCTTATGTTAATACATTTGTCATTTATGTGCTAGGTAACAGGAAAACAAAATCAAGTAAGAGCATCTACCCTAAGACTAGTGCTAAGACTAGTAGTGTTAATGTGTGGCGCTAAGTAAACAGTTAACAACAGATTTATTAGGTAATATGGAACCATGGAAGTAAAACAACTAGATTGGGAAGGATTGGGCTGGGTAACAACTAATGACCTTGAGAAGACCTGATGCTTAACCTAACTGTTGGAAAGCAAATAGTACTTAAGAAGAAAAGGGAAGAACCTTTTAGGCACAGAAAACACAGAACAAAGTTGGGCAAAACAAACTAAAAGTAATCTGATATGGCTGAACTAAAAATGAGAAAACACTAGGCAGAGAGATTACAAAGGGCTTCAGGTACTAAGGCACAGACTTTGGGTCTTGTCCTGACAGCTAACAAAAGGCAAGAGAAAATTTTAAGTAGGGAAGACGTACGTTTTCACCTATATCTACTCTGCATTCTAGCACTTCTTTTCTGTTCAAAAGATTTTATTTATTTATTTGAGAGAGAGAGCGAGAACAAGCAGGGGGAGGAGCAGAAGGAGAGGGACAAGCAGACTCCATGCTGAGCAGGGAGCCCAATTTGGGGCTCAATCCCAGGACTCTGGGATCATGACCTGAGCCGAAGGCAGCCGCTTAACCGAATAAGCCACCCAGGTGCCCTCCAGCATGTAACTTTTTTTTTTAATTTTATTTTACTGTGTTATGTTAATCACCATACATTAGTTTTTGATGTAGTGTTCCATGATTCATTGTTTGTGCGTAACACCCAGTGCTCCATGCAGAACGTGCCCTCTTTAATACCCATCACCAGGCTAACCCATCCCCCTACTCCCCTCCCCTCTAGAACCCTCAGTTTGCTTCTCAGAGTCCACAGTCTCTCATGGTTCATCTCCCTCTCTGATTCCCGCCTTCATTTTTCCCTTCCTACTATCTTTTTTTTTTTTTTAACACTAATGTATTATTTGTTTCAGAGGTACAGGTCTGTGATTCATCAGTCTTAACACAATTCACAGCACTCACCATAACACATACCCTCCCCTATGTCTATCACCCAGCCGCCCCATCCCTCCCACCCCCCACCACTCCAGCAACCCGCAGTTTGTTTCCTGAGATTAAGAATTCCTCATATCAGTCCAGCACTTAATTCTTAGGAGAATTAACGTATGTCTACTGTGAAGCATGTTAAGTTATCTTAATATAAGGCAATATCTCTGAAAAGTTTCTCCAGGTCTGAGGTAGAAGAGAAAGGACACTTAATCTTAAAATATTTAGAGGATGCAAATTAAAATTTTGCCTTGTCACTATATTAGGTTATTTACATAATTTCATATTTGCAATAGAAATATCACTTTTCTACCTCACAGGGTTATTATGAAGATTAAGTAAAAGATGAACATACATAGCACAGTATCTGATATATGGCAAATGCTCAATAAACTGTTAAAGAAATACTGCTCGTTGCAATGATTAAAATAAATTTTAGTCCAACTTCTTGCTATTACTGTGACACAAACATGTATACATACACACATATATAACCTATTTATTTAAATGTTATGGCTATCTCCAGAGTATTAGGAATGTTAATAAAGATCTGTGAAAGCAAAAAAACCCAGAATACTTGAGGGTACTAAAAAAAAATTTTAATCATTTGATTTGAAACCAACTAATTTAAAGCAAACATGCTAAAAAATTCTATTTCTTGAAATTAAGAGAAATTAATTTCACTATTTTCAACTGAAAAAAACTTAATTGAGTCTTCTTTGTAAAAACAATATATGTGGGGCGCCTGGGTGGCTCAGTTGGTTAAGCGTCTGCCTTCGGCTCAGGTCATGTCCCAGCGTCCTGGGACCGAGCCCCCCATCGGGCTCCCTGCTCAGCAGAGAGCCTGCTTCTCCCTTCTCCCTCTGCCTGCTTGCTCTATCTCTCTGTCAAATAAATAAATAAATAATCTTTAAAAAAAAAAAGTTTTTATAGTTATTTTCCCTCCAAACTACTTTATATATTTTAAAAATTCACTGAAGTATGACATACATACTATACAAACTATAAGTGTACAGTTTGATAAGACTTTGACAAAGTTGATGCACACTTGTTATCAGGACCCAAGTCAGGAAATAGAATACAACCAGCAGTATAAAATTCTCTTCAAAACCATCCCAGCCACTATGTATTTTCACAAATAACCAGCATATGTACTTCTATCAATATAAATTAGTTTTACCTACTTTTGAACATTATATTAATAGTACCATATAATATGTAGACCATGAGTTACCTTCATCCATTCTTGAACTTTATATAAATAAAATAATATGGTATGTGTGCTTTTGTTTCTGGCTTCAACATCATGTCTGTGAGTAAAAATAGTTTAAGCTCATATAGTATTCCATAATATAAATAGTTGACCCTTGAACAAGGGTTGAACCATGCAGGTCCAATTATATATATGTGGGTTTTTTTCCCAATAAATACAGTACAGGGCACCTGGGTGGCTCAACTGGTTAAGCGTCTGCCTTTGGCTCAGGTCATGATCACAGGGTCCAGGGATGGAGCCCCGCATCGGACTCCCTGCTCAGCAGGAGTCTGCTTGTCCCTCTCCCTCTGCTCTTCCCCACCCTACTTCGTACTCTCTCCCTCTCAAATAAATAAAAGCTTTAAAACTAAATAAATAAAGCCTTGCAAATGTATTTTCTTACCTTATAATTCTCTTAATAACATTTTCTTTTCTCTAACTTTATTGTAAGAATACAGTATATAATACATATAACTTACAAAATATGTGTTAATCAACAGTAGGCTTTAAGTAATTAAGTTATGGGGGAGTCAAAAGCTATACACAGATTTTCCACTGTGCGGGGGGAATTTTTTTTTTTTTTTAAAGATTCTATTTATTTAATTGACAGAGCGAGAGACACACACACAGTGAGAGCAGGAACACAAGCAGTGGGAGCGGGAGAGGTGGAAGCAGGCCTCCCGCCGAGCAGGGAGCCTGATGTGGGGCTCGATCCCAGGACCCCAGGATCATGACCTGAGCCGAAGGCAGTCACTTAACCGACTGAGCCACCCAGGCGCCCCGGAGGGAATGTTTTTCAAGAGTCAACTGTATACCATAATTTATTTATACATTCTACTGCTGAGGGACATTTAGGTTTCTTCTAGTTTGGGGATATCTCAGTGCTGGTATGAATGTTCTTTTATTTGTCTTTTGGCACAAACATCTATGTATTTGCTGGGTCTTGGAGTATCTTGGAGTGGTACTGCTGAGTCATTAGAAATGCTTATGCTCAGATTTGATAAGGACTGCCAAATAACTTCAAGATAACTTATGTCAACTTACACTCCTACCAGTAATGTATTAAAGTCCAAGCTGCTCTACAACCTTGTTAGGATGTTTTTCATTTTAGCCATTCAAGTGGGTATATATCTCACTATGGTTTCAATTTGTATTTCCCTGATGATCAGTGAAGGTGGACACCTTTTCATGTTTATTGGTCTTTTGTCAAGTGCTTGCTTAAGCCATGTGCTGATTTTTCTATAGAGCTGACCATCTTTCTTAATGATTTTTAGATGCTTTTTAGATATTGTAGATCCAAGATGGATGTACGAATTGCAAATGCATTCTCCCACTCTGTGGTAGATTATTTTTTATTGGTTTGTTTGAATAATGAGTGAGTTCTGAATTTTATCTAATGTTTTTCCTCTTTAAGATAATCATATTATTTTATTTGTTCAATGTAAATTATATCACTTGATGTTTATTTTTTTCAGGGAGAAAATTTTTATTAATCTTAATTATAGTACAGTTAACATACACTGCTGTATTACTTTTAGGTGTACAATATAGTGATTCAACGATTCTATACAGTACTCAATGCTCATCATGGTAGGTGTACACTTAAACCTCTTCACCCATCTCTCCCATACCCCAACCAATCTCC